GGGGGTGGCAGGAGGAGTGAGAGCAAAGGTGGGGGTGGGGGTGACGGCCCTTTTTCATTTCTTTTCCCCAGTCCTTCTCAAAGTATCCTATTGACTCACAAAAGGGCCTCCCCTCCTGGCTCCCCAACGCCCGGAGCATGCGAGAAGGCAAGGCGGGTGGCGTGCAACTAGCTTCCGTGTTGGCCTCTCTGGGTGGAAGGTCACCTTGGGTCTGAGCCCTCATCATGCCCACTAGCAGAACCCAGACCGCCCCCTCCACCACCACCCCGATCTGTTGAGCCCATTGCCAACAACCTCAGACCAAAGTGCCAAGTGCGAAACAGCACGTCCAGGGAGTCTCCCTAAAGCTTCCCGGGGTTCAAGATGGCGCTATGAACCTTCGCTCTACTACTGTGCTGGTGGCGGTGTTGCCCTCCATCCTCCTTCATGGGACTCCAAACCGTTTGGGGGAAACTGATATGAAAAGATACTGAGGTTTCCCCCCCACACTCCTCCCGCCCCCACCAACGAACCTTTTGAAAGCGCCATCTGTTCAGTCGTGAAATGGCCACCGCCCGCTCCCTTAGGCCAAGACGCCACCGACTTGAAAGGGCAGCACCTCGGGGAACCCCGTTGAAAGCTCCCAAATATGGACAACAGGATGGCTTTTCGTGAGCCCCCTCTCTGGCTGAAGTCCCCCACAACCCCCTCAGAGGCCTCACCTTTCCTGTTGGCAAGAGCTGGAGTCCACACTGCTCGCCCAGCGGAGGCCCCCACAAACTGAGACTAAGCTACGCCCCCTAAGGCAGCAAGGCCCTGTCGGGAAAGACCGCATCCGGGTAAATCCAAGGACTTACACCGGCAGTCTATCTCACGGCGCATAGAGGGGGGCGGGCAGCCACGTGGAATGGGGGAGGAGGTTGCACGCTAGAGGAGGGGTTTGCTGGGCGGAGTGAGACTCTCTTCCTGAATTTCCTGCAATCCCCAATCCCCCCCCCACACACACACACCTCCAGGTCTTCGCCCTGCACCCCATCCCACCAGACCTGGACGCCATCTTCTACAGATGCCCCTCTGCCTCCCAAGGCAATCCGGGGGTCCTGCTTGGGGGGTCTGAGGAGATAGCCCCCATCCTTTGCAATGTCTTAGATAGACTCCACAGGTCCCGCCACCACTCCTCGCTTTTTTTCAACCTCGGCTGATGACTCGCGTCCCGCTCCTTGATGGAAATGATTTGCGTGAATGTGACTCTGCTTTCTAGAGTCTACACTCGTCGGACTGCCATTGAGTGGATTCCAACTCACAGGGACCCTGTAGGGACAGGGGAGAGAACAGCCCCTGTGGGTTGCCGAGGCAGTCAGTTTTGTTTTTTTTAATTTCACGTCAGTACTTTATTACACTGATCTGGAAAAAGGATTCAGTCCAGGTTTACTCCAACGGAGCACTTGGCCCAAGTAGCCGGGCCGAGCAAAGGGACAGGACTCAGAATCTCAGTGTAAAGACATGTTGTCATGATCAATAGGCATTTCACTGCCACCACAGAGAGGTCGGGGAAGGGTTCTACAACACACATTCAGATGGATTCCTCCCCCTTAGGAACCAGGAAGCCTACCCCATTGGGCAAGAGGGATGGCTTACTTTCCAATGGTCCCATGAGGGTTCTAGCATTTCAACTGCCACCAGAAACCCTACAAGGGGGGTTGTTTTTTGGGGTTTTGTTTTTTTTTGGTTGTTGTATGTATATATCTTTTTTGAAAAAATCCCAACACTTAAACATTCGAAGTTGATCCCAAACTTCAGAGGCCAGGGAGGAAATCGATTTAAACATCAGCCCATGGGCTCCTTTTCCACTGGAAAATGCCTCGACCAACCTGACTGCTGAGCAGTTCCGGGCCTGGAATCGTCTTGCTTCCCCCATCCGTAGTCTTCAACATGGTTCCTTCCTCCCCCGGAACTCAAGTCAGTCCCAAGGAAACAACCCGGGTCTCTTTCCCCCTTTGAAGAGTGGCAAGTCTTCCCCTGGCCCTCAACTGAGGAGCCGGCATGCCCCGGAGGTGCCATTCGGACTAGAGTATACGAAGGGAGAGGGTGCGAGGGACAAGACGGCTGAAAGAGGAGCCACTGGTCCCCCATCCGCCGCTACATGAAGTGTGGTCAGTGTGACGTGTGCAGGGAAGCGGCGCCGAGGAGTGGGGTGGCAGGGAGAGTGGGCGTCCCTGGGACAGCAGTCGGCTGGTTTGCTTTCACTTCTTGCCCTTGCCCGGAACGGCCCCGGCTTCTGTGGCTTGCATACGGTCTCCTTATCCACAGGAAACTATAGGGCCTTGATAGGCTTCAAGTTCGTGTCCAATTCATAGACGAAAAGCAGGTTCGGCTCCATGATGGCCTCTTTAGAGAGCCCCTCCAGATGTTTGCCAGTGCCCCGGAGGCTGTTGCCATGGGCTGCAACCAGGACCTGTTTCCCTTCCTTGATCTGAGGAATGATTTCTTCGTTCCGGAAGGACAGGGCTCTGATAATGGCCTTCACCCTCTCACGAGAGGTCACCTCTTCTTTAGTGAGGTCTGCATATCTCCGATCTTGGCTGCTGTTGCTGTAGAAGCGGTGGTCTTCCATGGGCACTGAAAGTGGCTCCAAATCTTGGCCTGGGCTGCACTACCCTCAGCCACATCTGGGCGATGGCATCCAGCACCTCACAGAGGGCCTGCATGGCTTCTCTTCGTGCCCTGAGATGAAGCAGATACCAACTCATAGTCAACAACGCGCAGCGCC